TATATATATATAGATCATTGCATGACATGACAGGACAAGCATACCATCACGTATCAACGCAGAACTGAACACACCAATCCAGACCATGTCACAGCAACGCATACCATTACACTTCATATCATAGCACAACACAGCATCACAACGCATGGTATGACAGATCGGAGCATGCGTATCATAACATCAAAGTGTATGAACCAGCGTGGCATACCAGAGCATCACACAACATACCATAACATAACAAACCACGACATACAACAGCATCACAGTACATACCATTACATAGCATGACAATCCATAAAATGACAGAACGCGGCATACAATGCTACAGCATAGCAACACATAGCATAACATAACACCATAAACTATAACATACCTGGTCACAAAGAACATCGCATAACACCTCACCTCACAGCACAACATAAGCGCGCCCATGCGGACCGAACGCCCACTCTGCATATCCAACACAAGCTACCACCAACACCACACCCTCGCGCCGCGACTCGCCCATTCTGCCCTCCGAGCCCCGCGCACATCGTTCCAATGAGCGCGCGCACTTCTGGGATCAAACGCGGAAGGTGCCGGAGGGGATCGCTGGAAGTCAAATCCCACCAGCCCTCTGGGCGTAGGTGGTCTAGAGCAGATCCTCTTCCACCCCTCCCTCTTCCCCCTTGGGGAGGGGTTTACCCCTCCCCCTACCCCCTCCCCTGGACCTGGACGGGGGGGGCCGCGGGTAGTTAGAGCGTCCCAGATGGCCCAAGACGGCTCCAAGAGCGCCTCAGAGAACCCAAGATGAGCTCCAAGATGGCTCAAGATAGCGCAAGATCGCTCGAGATGGCTCCTAAGATGGTTCCAAGAAGCCCAAAGACGGCCCCAAGATAACTCCAAGTGGCCAAACAGCTCCCCAAGGAGGCCCCGAAGAGGCCAAAATCGTCCCAAAACCTAAGGAAAATCAATGATTTTTGCTTTCTCGCCTTTTCGCTTCCGATGGCCATCCGAGGCCTGGAGATGGTTCCAAGATGGCCCAAGAGGGCCCCAAGAGAGCCCCAAAAGAGCCCCAAGACGGCCCCAAGAGCGCCCAAGAGCACTCCAAGAGCGTTCCAAGAGGGGTCCAAGAGGCGATTTTAGGGGCTTCCGAGGGGGGACGCTAATTAAACCCCCCCTCTTGTTTGATCGATCTCCTCCAAGATGGCCCCAAGAAGCGCCCAGGAAGCCCCAAGAGGTCCCAAGATGGCCCCAAAATGGCCCCAAGAGGCCCCCAAGAGGCCCCCCGGAGGCCCCCAAGAGACCCCCAAGAGGCCCCAAGAGCCCCCCCAGATGCACCCAAGATGCTCCAAGAGGCCTCGGCGAGAATGCCTAATCATTGATTCTACACAGGTTTTAGCCACATGGAGGCCTCTTGGGGGGGGGCACGGATTAAGATGACTCCAAGAGCGTCTGGGAGAGCCCAAAATGACCTCCAAGATGGCTCAAGATATCCCAAGATGTCTCATAATGGCTTCCTCTGTGTGCTGCCCACTTCTCTGATCGAGGCAATTCCTCTGGGCATCGTTTCTGGATGGGCTGGTGGGGATTCGCGAAGCGACAACAATTCTTGTTCGGTGAACTCTCCAGATCGCCCTCTAACAATACCCTCGTCTGACGACCGAGTGTGTCGACAGCACGATTTACATACATCGGCGTAACTCGCTGTTGGGAACAGTGGGCAGAACGAGCACTCGCTTAGGTACAGGCATAGCCACCCCTAGTCCTCTTTTGTTTGGTGGTATAAGCTGATTTCAGCAAACGCTTGACGACCAAAGCTGGGCCTCAGGGCCAGAAGCATCTGCATGAGACAATTTTCTGACCCCTTCTTATCATACCTCCCTTTCAGAGCCCACCGAAGGGATCCGCCATGGCCTGTCATGTTGATCTTGTTCTCATTGAATGACGCGATGGGGTCAATGTCGACCACGGTGTGAATCTCTACGTCCTTGTCGTCCTCCTCGGAAACGGGAGCACTCCTCCTTATGCTCCTCCTCGTCCTCCTCCCTCCTCTACGAGGCGACCCGTGGGCCCGTGAGGGACATCGCTCCAGGGCACCTGTAAATGTGGGAGGTACTGGCGCAGATCGGCAAGAGCCCTCTGGGCAGGCTTGGTTGGGAGAGCGCTTCCTTCCCCAAACCTCTCCCCATGCGGCCGTCGAGAGCGCGCGTCCCGACCTTCTCCCACAACCTCCCTTTTCTGGGCCGACAAAGTACAGCGCACTCGTCTGGCTCCCATGGGCGCGTCCCCCCCCGTGCTCCCCGTACAGCGTACACACTAGATACGTATGATGAGAGATATTGGTTCTAGCTTCCAGCAGCGCTCCACGACTTCTGCGGGCCGCCAAGGCCATTCAATACAATACCATAAACCCTGCGCAACCGAAATGAGGGGCCCGTTGCCAAGTGGTCCAACGCAGTCCTGGGGAATGCAACGCAATGCGCTGCAACGCACTGCTTGGCATTGCTTGGCGCTGCTTGCAATAATTCGCTGTGGTGGCCGCTACTTTCAGCTGCTTTGCGTTGCGTTCCGCTGCTTGGCGTTAGTTGGCAGTGCTTCGCAAATCTTGGCGTAGCGTGAAATCATTGTTTGGGGTTGCGTGGCTTCGTTGTTTGGCGTTACTTAGCATCGCTGTTTAGTATAATTGCTTACGCTGCTTAGCACTGCTTGGAGTTGCTTCGTGTTGCTTCGGATCGTTGATCGACGTTGCTTAGCGTTTTCTGGAACTGATCCTTGGCATCACATGACGCTGCTTTGCATTACCTGGAATTGCTGCCCATTACTTTACAACGCTTGGCGTTAAGTAGCAATGCTGGCCCTTGCTGAGCACCGCTTGGATTTGCTTGACATTGCCTGGGAAGTCTTAGAAACGCTGCATTGTGTGGCATCGTTCCTTTGCATTGAAGCGCATCGTTGGTTTGAATTGCTTTGCACTGTTTGGCGTTGATCGTGTTGCTTGATATTGCTTGGCGTGCCTTGGCATGGCGCCGCGTCGCTTACCCTCGCTTGAAACTGTTGCCTGGAATTGTTCGGCGTTGCTTGGCTTGACATCGCTTGGCGCTGCATGGCGCTGCTTGGCATCAGTGCTTGCCCTGCTTGGCATTGCTTGGGATCGTTGCTGAGCATGGTTTGGCACTGCTTGGTCTTGCTTTGCGTTTGGGACTGCTTGGCGATGGTTGAAATTGCTTGGCCTTGCGTGGCGTTGCCTAACACTGTTTTGGATCGAGATCCTTGGCATTGCTCGGCTTTGCCTAGCATTGCTTAGAACCGTTGATTGGCATTGATTGGAGTCGTTGCTTAGTATTGCTTCGCATTGCTTGGCTTGGCACTGCTTGGTGTTGCCTTGCATTGCTGAACGCTGCTTGGCATGACTCGGCGTTACTTGGCGCTGCTCGGCATTGCTTGGCCTTCGGTGGCAAGTGGCACTTCGTTGCTTCGCACTGCTTGTCATTCGTTGGCATTCCTTGCTTGGCATAGCTTGGCATAGGCTTGCGTTGCATATCCCGTGCAGCCCGAAGGACCACCACCAGGGGGCCATCTCTGACGAAGGGCCCCGCACCCCGAACAGTCGCAAACAACCCAGAGGCACGCCAGAACCCGCCTCTGACAACTGTCCCCGCATCCGCCGGTTTCTTCCACAACCTTCTTCGTCGCAGCGGCGGGAGTCCTGGCCGCGTTCTGAGGCAGACGTGGGACGCACTTGCCGAATGGGGCACAGCAGGCGGCGGGAGGGAGAGGAGCGCGCGGGGGCAGGGGAGGACTCTCAGAACATCCAGCCCTTGTGAGTGAGTGCTGTCACTTCTCTTCCTCTTGCCACTGGGCTCCCCTTCGGCTGATAACGAAAACACGCGTGAGGACAGGAGCGCGTGCGCAGCGCGGAGGTGGAAACCCGTGCAGGAGCGGAGCTCAACCCCGCTCCTTCCACAGGCAAGAGAAGAACTCCCTGGGCCAAAACCTGAGCTTCCACGGGTCTCCTGCTGGTGGCCCGGGCTTCTTGGCACACCGGAGTGCCTTCGCGTGCCCACACCGTGCCAGCCCGCCGCGCTGTGATGATTTGGGGGTTGTCGGTACACGTCCTGGGTGCTGTCTGCGCACGGGCGGCCGCCCGCCGGGTCTCCTCTTGGGCGCGCCGAGTCGGCATGCTGGGGCCTTTCTGCTGATGGCGAGGCGGATCGATGATCCTCCCGTCCTGGGCGCAGAGTCGGCGCACGGGCCTCCCTGGCCAAGGCCTCCCTGGCCAAGCCAGGAAGACGAGGATGGACGAACAAAAACAGAACGTGTCATCGCTCGGACGTCCATGCCCAGTGCATTGTTCGGCTTCGCGCATGCATGTTCGCAAGATGGTCCAAGATGCTCCTCGATGGCCCTCGCCGAGGAAAGGTGCACACGTCCTGGCGATGCCAAGAGAACGCAGAGCGACCGTCTCAGCTCGAGGCAACGCTGCGGCCGCTGCAAGGCGAATCGAAACGTCGCTGGGCGCACCAGGAGAGACTCATGTGCCGACCTGCAATTGGCAACCTCATGCAGCACATCGTGGCTTGTGAGAAGGCGAACGCGTGGCATGCAAATGCCATCCCCCTGGCTCGAAATGGCCCACCATATATAATGTTTCCTGCCCTTCTCATTGTCCCTCTCCATCCCCGTTTCCTGTCCCTTCCTTCCCTCCGTACTCTTACACTTGCCCTGTCACGTCTCCTCCCCCGCACCCTCTTCTCCTGCTTCCTCCCTCTAGTGTTTCCCCCCTCCCCCTGCTACTTCTCATTCTCCCCCTTCGTCTCATTCGCCTTCTACGCCTTCGTCCTTTTATCCCCAACCTCTCTTCTTCTCACCACCAATATTACTATAACCTCTGTCGTTCACAATGTTCTGTCCGTGAAGGCGGGTTTGTTGAGCGGCGCTGGCAGCAACGAGCGGATCGACCCTTGCGTGTCCGCCGAGAGCGACTCTGGGAACTCTATCGTGAGGATGAGGAAAAGGTTGCCTGGAGCCCCCAGAATGGCTGCAATGGCGTGAAGAGAAAGGGAGGAACAGGATGACATAATAAGCGGAAGAGGATGAGCAGCAAAGGGGGCAGCAGCAGCAGCAGCAGCAGGAAGAACATTACCATGAGGAAAATAAGGCGAAAACCGACTGGACCCACCGAAAGACCGGGGCCAGTCTGATTGGGGAATGCCATGTGCGCGAGGCCGTGTGGAACAAGAGATTGCGCAAGGCGGGGACGGAAGGGACGGACAGGTAGGCGTTGAGGCGAAGGGAGAGGGTAGTGATTGGGAGGGACAGTGATCAAGATAATCTTCGGGGGTTCGAGAAAAGGGCTGATGAGGGAGGAGAGGTCCCTAGCGGCAGGATTGCGTTCATCTCTTTCCCCTACAGTTAAATACTCTAGCCAATGTGGACCAAAAACAATGTGTTTATAGCAAAATGCGGTGTGTAATCTACGTGGGGCAAGCTGCGCTGTGCAGTATATTTGGCGCAACGTATGCTTTGCAATCGATACAGTGCTATCTATGCTGTGGAAAAAATGTATGGGATTGTACGAAGTGCGATGCAATGTTGTTCGCAGCGAGTTGTCAAATCCACTGCTCGCGCAAACATCCCACCCACCCACTCGCAACTTGGTTTGCAACACCCATGAAGCGGCAATTGTGATGCCTGCTTGGCGCTGGCTGGCGCATCGCCGCCACCGCCCTAGCGCGCAGGCTCGTGCGCAGAGCGGCCAGCTAATTAGTTTGGTGCGACCGACAAGGCTGTGGTGGCGCTGGCCGACGGGACTTCCCAGCGCGCCTTTCAAGCCGTGCTGACGCGCGGGCACTCCAGTGCGAGTCGGTGACTCGGGCGGGTGCGGTGCCATGGCGACGTCGACAACGGCAAGCACGATGATGATTGCAGCGATGCTACTGACGACGGTAGCGATGACGACGGCCAGGCAGATGACGGCGCCGATGCTGACCACGCCGGCTACGAGAATGGTGTCCACGCGTCGTTGATGAAGAGTTTGGAAGGATTTCGAAATGCGCGCGCGGCCGGCGGGCGCGAGTGGCCCGCGTAGTATTGTTCGACAAGGACCGCGCCCGCCCCCAACACGCGCGCACGGGCGTTCGAATGACTTTGACATGTGTGCGTGCGAGAGGCCTGTTTGGTCGCATTTGGTGACGCTTCAAAGAAAAATATCCGCCGATCCGGCGCGTGAGTTTAAACAAGCCTAAGCTACAGCCTGAGCTTCAGCTCTGCTGGGGTGTCTGTTCCGGGGTGGCGCTGCCGGGGTAGGGGGGGATGGGGGGGGGATGGGGTTCACCCTATCCTCCCTCCCCCCCGGAGCCCAAAACCACTCCATGAAGGGCAGAAGGGGCCCAGAAACCCACCAAGCCAGCCCAAGAGGTGCCCAAGACGGCCCAAGAGCGCTCAAGGACGCCCAAAATTGCTTCAAGACGGCCCACCATGCCTCCAATACGTCTCAAGAGAGTCCCAAGAGGACTCCCTAGAGCACCCCAAGAGGCCCAAATCCTCCAAACCCTTTTGGTTTTCTACGATTTCAACATTATCGCCTGTTTGGCCTTCTCAGCGCTCGAGAGCCCTCGAAAAGACACCCAGGGCCACCAAATACAGCACCAAGACGGCCCAAGAGAGCCCCAAGATGGCCCAGGAGGCACCCAAAACGCCCCCAAGAGGCCCCCAAAACGGCCCAAAGAGGGGAACTCGAACTCACCCTTCGAGCCATCCACCCCCAGATGACCCCAAGAGCCCCCAAGAGGCCACCAAAGAGGCCCCAAGAGGCCGCCCAGAAGCCCCCAAGAAGACCCCAGCAAGCCCCAAAGCCCCACGAGGCTCCCAAGAAGTCCTCAAGAGGCCCCCAAGAGGCCCCAAGAGGCGCTGACTCGCGCTATGTCAGGCCAGAGATGCACGGCATGATTTAGTGCTTCTCAGAAGCGAGAGCACTGAACTCAGAACCAACGAAGACCTCCGAACACCTCTAACCTCAAACCTTCTCGCTCTTTGCTCCTCGTTCTCCTCGCTCCACGAGGCTCACGCGGACACGGTTTGCCTGCTCGGCACCGGCCAGCAACCCGCCACCACGGGCTCAACCAGCCGCAAAACCGCCCGACGGCCCCCTGCTGCTGCTCCTGCTGCTGCTGCTGCTCCTGTTTCTCTCCCAGCTGCTCTGCCTGCCCGTACCTTCCTTTCCTCTTCCTCCTGCTCCTCCTCCCACAGGAGGAAACGGGCAGAATGAGTTGAAGAGGAGTGGAACGAGCAGCATCAGGAGGAGGCGGTCCTCCTCAACGTGTTTTCTCGTGTTCCCGTCCTCCTTTGCCTCCTCCTCCTCCTCCCCCTCCTCCTCCTCCTCCTCCTCCTCCTCCTCCTCCTCCTCCTCTTCCTACTCCTGAACCTCATCCGCATCCTCCCTGTGTTCGTCCTGGTCATCTCCCGTCCTCTCCTTAATTCCCCTCCTTCCCGCTACTACCCGCTCCTCCCCACTCCTGTGCACCCTTCTCAAAAACGAGTGCACGCTCCCTACCTCGATTCCATCCGCACTCTTCAAACAAAATCGCATCCATTCAAGCCCTTCCCATTGCGCCGCAATCTACTCACTACCAGAGCAACGGCCTCATGTCTCAACACTCCTTGTGACCCCCCCCCCACACACAGCTAGAGCCCCCAGTCCTCCCCACCTGTACCCACTGATGGCAAAAAAAAAACCCTCACCCTCTCAATCCTCCGCGCCCCTCTGACACCCTGCCAAAATATCTGGAACCCTGCCATTACTCCCCGCCCCCTCTGTATTCCTGCCACAACCTCCTCACCCTGAGTCCCCCCTTCCCTCTCCACTCCTCCTGCATCATCCGCAATCTAGAACCCTCCGACTCCTCCCACAACCTGCGTACTCCTGCCAATTCGCACGCCCCCCCACTCCTGCACAACCGCCCCCCGTCCCCTCTACCCCTTCGCATTCCTATCTCCTCCTCGATCCTTCCTCCGCACTCCTGCCCGCCCCTCCCTGCTCCTCCGCACTCCTCCCACAACCACTGGAAACCTCCCAATCCTCTAAACTCCTCCGCATTCATTCTCGCGCGAAAGATACCCGTGCCCTTACCCAGGCGCGGTGGCAAGGGGCGGGGGGAGCGACGCGCCGCAGCCGACGGCGGTTGCACAACTGCAGATGCGACGGCCCATCCGCTGGCACCGGAGGCGCGCGCGCTCCAATCGGCAGAATGGCCGATCACGCATTGGTCGCTCTCGGGCTAGAGTAGCCCGTTTGGAAGTGCGCCCACGAACGCGCAATCAAGCGTTCAAGGCTCGACGTGCAAAATGCGTCCTGGGTGTCCTGGGCGGGCGCCGCTGCAATCCCGCGCCCGCCCCAAACGCCTGGGGCCCCGAACGCCAGGCGCGGTCGCCAGGGGCTGCTCCCTGGAACACCAGCCTGGCATGACCCCAGCTAGGTCCGGGTACGTGACGGGGGACACAGTCGCCGACGCGCGTTGATTGTGCCCCCGGAAACGTACCCGTACCTAGTCGAGGTGGCGTTTGGTCGAAATTCCTCTCGGGCGCACGCGCGGCCCCCGAGAGCGCTCGACAAATGGGACAGACACCGCCACCCCAATGCTATTCTCAACCCCGCGGACACCCTCGATGCCCACAGGCGCCCCTGACGCAAGCCCGGGCATGTCGCTGCAATCAAACAACCAGCCGTTCAACGCGTCGTTGCGTCCTGACTCGCAAATGCGGAACCAGCGCGCACGCGGCAGGCTGATTGGGCGCAGTGGCTCGCGCCCAATCCAGCGGACGGCCCTTTTTACCCAAGGCCGACCCCGTGTAAGGGTATGCTTAGGACCGACGATTCGTCCCAAGACCTCCGCCCCTCCCTGGTCTCTCTATACCCCATCCGCACATCTCCAAAGAGCTCCAAAGCTTCCAAATCCTCACACCGCATCTGCACTTCTCACGCAAGCTGCACGACCTCGCCATTATCCTCAGCCCTTCGTACTCGCGCCGAACCCTCCTTCCCACAAATTCCTCCTCACCCCTTCCGCGCCCCTTTGCAAACTCCTGCAGGCCCTTCCCATTCCTCCCGCAGCTCCTTTGAACTCGTGCGAAAACATTCGCAACCCACCCATGCCTCCATCCCCCTCCGCACTCCTCCCCTGGCCTCCGAGCTCCCCCGCTCGTCCTACAATATCCGCACTCCTCCCACGACCTCCACCATCAATCCATTCCGCCTCGCCCTTTCGCATTCGCACTCACCTCCGCAACCCACCAATTCCTCCTCACCACCCCGCACTCCGTCATAAACTCCCCAACTTTTCTCACTCCTCCCAGAACATCCACCATTCATGCAACTTCCCAAACTATTCCGTCGGCTTTCGACATTTGAGTTTTCGTTGCTTCCAGCGCCTGGAGGCCGTTTCCAAGTCCCGGGACCGCGGGTAACTAGATGAATAACTACCCCGGACCTGATGTCTTGATTGTTTCAGTCTGTCCGCCTCCATCGGTCTGTGGGGCCAACTAAGGGCTCTGTTGCCATGCGTGGAACCCGCTTTGGCCTCTGGGGTCCCTCCTGAGCCTTTAGAGCCCCTCCCCGAGCCCTGAGAGCCCCTCCTTTCTCCAGGGCTGGCAAGGCGCGCTTGAGCATATAGCAGCGGAGCGCCGCGCGCAGCTGGAGGTGCCAGGGGGGGGCCTTCCCCCGCCTGCCTCTCATGCACATCTCCACCTTTCTCTGACATCGGGGGCTGGAGACTCGCCTATATGAAAGAATTTTCGGATCAACCCCCCACTCCCTCCCCCGGACTTGACCGCCCTTTTTTTTCAGCAACGATCTTTTTTATCAGCAAGTACATGTTTTATAAAAACCTGCGCCAGCGCTCTTGCGATTCCTTGGAAAACCATCGGGCCATGACATGTTGCCAAAATGCCTCTCGCGCGCGCGTCGGCATCGCTCGGGCGCCCTGGCGCGCGCGCTGTTGCAAAAATCCCTTGCAACAGATAG